CTTCCATTTCCTGGAGAGTCAGGATAACAGCTCTTTGGTGATTTGAGTTTTGTCAGCCCTGTATTTTTTTTTAATCTAAAGACTTTACAGTAAAAGTCGCTACTTAATTTCTACACTTCTCTTTCAAGACATTCTCATTTCCCTGTGCAATCATTGTAAAGCTATTTAATCCTTGATTTAGGTCTGGAAAAATAAATACATTACCCACAACAATGAAGCATTGGTGTCTAGGTCAATTTTTATTTATTTACATCTTCCTGAGTTTAACAGACCAGTCTGAGGTATCTGTGCTATCAAAGCCTTCCCAAGTAGGATTACAAGAAGGCCAAAACTAACAAAACTCATCAGTTTTGTAGTACCTGAGATACTGCAGGGCCGGAGGGACAGCCTTATTCACAATCCTCCCCACACTGTAGCCCTCTTAGAGGTTCAAGGAGATGGAGGTCTGCAAAGGGTAGAACAAGGGCCCTTACTTCTGGGAGCAAGCAAGGGGGTCTGGTGCAGTTTATTAGATTAACCTTTACACGAACAGCTGGGCGAGAGTTGACTCCCTGAGAAATTGCTGGTGTATCATGCTAGTAAATAATCACAGTACAGTGTGTGCCTCACAGAGCAGGGGTGAGACACTGGCTGTCTTGCCTGCAGGTTATCTGTGGACCTTGCTGGTGCTACAGCCTGCATATTGAATTTTGTCTCGTAGATTTGCTCCTTTGCTTAAAACTGCTGGTCACTTCCCTGTTTTGTGCTTGGTTTCATTTACAGTGCTAATTGGCAAATAACTCACTACTCTCATGCTTATGCTGCTTTATATTTACTGCAGTCACAGTCCCTCTGTTTTCTGTTGCTGATCAGCATTAGATTGTGTGATATGTGGGTTATGAGATACACCTTCACAGAAAACCTTGTACAGTTTACTAATTTGCAAAAAATGAGGTAGTAATGACACTTGCTTTTATCTCCCTACAGTATGTGCTGGTTCTCTGCAATTCTATTGGCACTCCCTTGGATCCCAAATATATTGATATTGGTAAGCAACTTGCAATAGTCTTTTCTGTTTGTTTTTTTTTTTTTTTTTCCTAGTCTTTATGATTAATTTATCATGCAAGTCTGTTGTTCAATGAAACAGTTACTGTGTGGTAACACCCCTTACAGCCAAATGTTGTGACCTTCTGTTCTATATGTGGTTGTAACTATGTTTTTATATTAGCGTCTCACTTCTTCTTGAACTGTCCCTAAATGTAATAAACATGTATTCAGGAGTTCCCATGTTATGAACTGTAATTTGTGTTGGAAATGACCTATTAATTACTCTGGTAATAAAAATAGTGGCTTATAAAATCAATCCTATTCCTTGTAAAAATTGGCTAAATTTAAATTGATTCTTACAGTTAATATAAACTATTTACAATAGAATTTTAAAATATTGTTACTTTTCCTTTGTTTTTTTTTTTTAATGAATGTTTTTGTTGATTCAGATTTTCCTGCACAACAGTGGTAATTCAACTCCTTTTTAAGAAAATGTACTTTTTTGAAGAGGGTCCTGTTTCTCAGAGCAATTGAAATAGTTTGATCTGGACTTTCATTTAAAAATAACATGTTGCTGCTTCACAGATATCTTATAGATCAGTTTATCATATTTCAGTGTTGATGATATCTTTTCTTTATCATCTTCCTCAGAATTGTTTTATCTAAATAGTTTCAGATTATAAATTAAAAATCAAATAAAAAAAAATCAGTGGATTATAACAAGATTACAAAAATATCCCCAAGTCCTAAACAGATCTGAATTCCAGGCTTTCCCTGCTCATTGTTTGCTGCAGGTGTGGTACAGAGCATTGTCAAGTAATTGCAAACCACCGATTTCTGGGAGTTTTGGTAGTGAATAAAGATAGTTGATTAAAAAAAAATCAGTGGATTATAACAAGATTACAAAAATATCCCCAAGTCCTAAACAGATCTGAATTCCAGGCTTTCCCTGCTCATTGTTTGCTGCAGGTGTGGTACAGAGCATTGTCAAGTAATTGCAAACCACTGATTAGTTGATTTTTCCCTTTGAACGGATGAGGGAAGTGCAGACAAACTGACAAATCAGCTCTTTGATTAAGTAATACATTTCTGTTTGGTTTGGTTTTTGATTTATTTTTGGTTTGTTATCCAAATGGATCTGAATTTGGATTCAGAACAGACACTGTGAATCCCATTTGCAGTTTTCTTTTTGAAGCCTGATTCTTTGATTAACTTTTCTGTTTTGTTGAAAGGCTAAATAATTTGTAATGAATTTTCAGAAAAAAACCCTGCTTTTAATGAGAGGGGAGAAGATAGTTATTAAATGAAATGTATATACTTATTTTTATAACCTCCTAGCTAAAATGATGGCAAGTAGAAGGTGTATTTGGCAGTAGGTATCTAATGTGATTCCACTATGTTAGAAACGTGGGATATGCAATATCACTGCTGTGCTCAGTGGTATAGCACCTTCTGAGCACACTAAAATACTTAGGAAAAAAACTATGCATGGTCGATACAGCAGAGGAGCATATTGGAACATATTGGAAAGGTGTCTACTTACTATGTGTATATAACGTTGAAACTTACGTGCTCTGATTCTGCAGAAATTAGGTTTATTTTTTAAAGAAACCAAACCAAAACCTTCTCTCTACCTGTGCCAAAAAGCGATGTAGCTATTATGACAAGAAACCTCGTGAACTTTTTTGGATGTTAATTGCTTCCTAGAGCCATTGGTTCATCCTCTCTGCAAAAAGTATCTCTTCAGTCTAAATTAATCTCATTAGAGAAGCTAGTTCCAGGCCATAGTGCTAACAGTCAGTGTTAGTACTAAATGATAAACAAACAGACATTCTGTCTGATCAAATAGATGGGAAAAGTGTCTAGCAAGTTTTGGTAAGATAGAGATGATGAGGAAAGGTGAAGAACTATAAGACAAGGATGTAACAACAATTCACAGAAGAATATAGATAGGAAAAAAATCAACCAAAGAACAGAACTTTTCCTCAACCAGTGCTACTAAACAGGTTTTTTTTTAATTATATACTAAGTTGTAAGTGTTATTTTCTAACATTGTTCAGTTTTTCAGTGATGGCAGGAGGAAATCAGCTGAGAGTCAAATATATATTGTGAAATTCATGCCCTATATTATAGATCATATTTAAAATTAAGAGTATCCTGCTCAGATGAATGATTTTGACTTCTTTGTCCCATGAAATGTGTATGAAATATTGTGGTACTTTTTAGTCTCATAATTTCTGTTTATGTCAACTTGATGCCCTCTTGCCACCTTTTACAATAGGGTTGGCACGTCAGAATCTTAAAGAATAAAGTGCCAAGGAAATCCAATACCAAGAATTTCACAATGGATGTAGGGGGGAAAAAAACCCCTAAAACTGAGAACTGAAGTAAGATGATGTGGTGGGTGGTAGTGGTGTGGTTGGGGTGTCTATTGTGTCCTCCCTGTCCCGTCCTCCCTCCTGATCAGGTGTCTACACTGTGGGTGCCTACTAGTCTCCTGGACTTACTTGACAGGTGGGATTGGGGCGGTGGGAGGAGGATTCAGGGTTTGTAGGAAGTAGTTAATCTAATTTCTACAGCTGACATCTAAAATAATTCCAGTGAATCATTCCTGAAAGGGGTCTTTTTGCTCTCCATTGGGTACAAGGAAGCCCAGGACAACCAGCTCATCTGTCAGAATTGTCTAAAATTAGATGAGACGAATCCCACGCAAACAGTCAAAATTAGCTTTACATGTACACCTCTAACTCTGAATTTAAACTCTTAAATTTGCATTTTTCTAGTGTTCTGTTTATGTGAGCTTTCTATATCTGTGATAGTTTTATTTATTTAGATTATAAACAAAGATATCAGTTTCTTCGTGATTCCCCCCTTATGACCTCTCCTACAGCTGTCTACACAAGAAAAGAATCTTCTCCAGTGACTGAAAACAGTTAAAGAGACATGCTATTTAATTGAAAAATGCTGTTGTTGTTCCAGTTGTATTTGAATTGTGCTGAAGAGATGAAACAATGTGGAAAAACATTGTTCTTGTTCCTTTAGCTTAACTAAGCTTTCTGCAGTCTGCTTCTGTTCCCTCCAGTGTCATAGGACCAGTTTAGTGCACAGATTTACAATGCTCTTTCCTAGTGAGGGTTCATTTCTGAAAATGCTAGGCATTATAGCCTTCAGCCTCACAGATGGGCAAATACTTGAGGTTAGGAATATTTGCATTTTTGAGTCCTGAAAAATTTCTGTAGTCTCAGTAGTTCAAACATAACAAGCAAGCCTTTCTTTGCTGTATAGTAAACACAGACAAATCCTGTAAGAATCTTTTAAAGTAAGCCCACCAAATTTACAGAGGGGATTGAAGGTGGAAGTGAAAAACAAACACCTATAAATGCAATGCTTTTGGAACACATTGCGCTGGTTTTATAATAGTTGCTTTCCTTTATTGTTACCTTTGAAGATACAAATTTATAGAACTTGAAATATTTATACCATAAGGTCAGTTTGTGTGAGGTGTAGACAGTTGTGCACAGTCAAGGTCTTAACAGACAGTATATCATGCTGTTTATCACAGTTGGAAGCTTCTTGGCAGTAGAAAGTACAATTGTTCCAGTTTGACAGGGTGCTGAACTTAAGCAGCTGGCTGGCCTTGCTGAGGTCAATAAAGAGAGAAGACCTTGTAAAACCTTAAAGGCAGAAGACCGTTCTGTAAGTTCTTTTGAGATTCCAGTCGGTGCATCATTTCTAACAAAATCATTATCCTTTTGTCCTGTTTATACATGATAAAAATAAGCTTTAAATCAATTATCAGGTGAGAGTAATCATTCATAGTTTAAGATATAAACAGTACAAAAGTAAAGTGAACGTATCCCTTACTGAAGATAACTGGAGGGGTGTTATTGACTTCTGAAAAATATATCATCTGTCTCTGAAAGCTTTCCTCTTTCTCTTTCTACCAAAACACTTTTTCAGGGCGTTCTCTTTTAGTTAAGGAATAAATTGTTGCATTGAGTTCTGTCCTGAAAATAATTTGCATAGGTAGTTTTTGTCTTGAACTCTTGTTCTTGTTTCAGACTTCTAAGTCCCATATTTCAGAGTAGTTTAAAAACATTTAGATTGTTACATTTTTTTATTTTAATAAATGCTTATTAAAAATGCCCTCTCGTATAGTAGGATGTTCCTCAACAGACCACATGGTATCTGTGTGTTGCTGCCTATTCTTAAGTGGGAGCTCTTGACTGCCATGAAAGAGTGATCAGTCATTGGAACAGGCTGCCCAGGGAAGTGGTGGAGTCACCATCCCCAGAGGTGTTCAAGAAACGTGTAGATGTGGTGCTTAGGGACATGGTTTAGTGAGTTAGGTGGTGTGGGTTGATGGTTGGACTTGATGATCCTTGAGGTCTTTTCCAACCTTAATGATTCTATGATTCTATGATTCTATATTTTTTTGACTGGCTGTAATTACTGTAAATTGAACACACAATATCTGTTTTTTACCAGACTGCCCCTTGTTGGAATACCAATCACCTGGTGCTCTATTGAGCATAAAGATTTTACTTCTCCTTGAGACTTTGATGCCCTGCCAGTCTCTTGGGCTTTGATTTGGTAGGAAATTGATAGGAGAAAAAAGATTGCTAATCTAGGGATGCTAAGTAGCTGACGGAGCATTTGAATAATGCCGCTGAGAACGTGTGTTAAGGCACAATTTGTACGAATTGTTAATTTATAACATTTTATAAAATTGTTTGAACAAAGTGCTGTTAATCTCCTAATGACAAAGTAATTGTAACAGTGTGCAATGTTTGATTCACCCCCAGGAGATGCAAATCTTATGTTGTTGGGCTCTAAGCCAGTAGTCCAAGAAGGGCTAAAAAAACCAAAAAGTGTTTATTCCCTTTATTCTGTTGAACTTTTATGTCATTAGCTTTCTAATGCTTGTCTCTGCTAACGGTGGCAAAAAAAGGATTAATCAATCATTACCTGGTGAAAGGCCACCACTTCAACTTTCTTTGGACACTGATCAGTGGTTACACCTTAAAGCTCTTCTTCATGTTCCTCTTTATTTTGTCCAATGGTATTTTAGTTGCTGTGCTGCCTGTGCCTTGTTTTCAGGGCCCTTCACAATAGCTAGTGTTTGCTAGCCCATAAATTAGTCTTTTCTCCATTGTCTAGCATTATTGTGTTCCAGCCTACTAAGGTACAAAAATTAACCAACACAGTTTTTTATGTGCTTGTTTCACAGGCTCACAGGCTTTCTGTCAAAGTCCTTTCATGAAGAACTAAATATAAACTACAGAAGGTTAAACATCTTGTTATATAATATCTTTTTAATGGAAACACAACAGATGGTATCTGCTAAGAAAATGTCACTCAGGCTGGATTATATCATCTTCTTACATGTGCTTAGGAGCACTGACATAGTGAAGTGTTGAGTTATCTTTCGCATGTGTGTGAGCACCCAGTGAAATGAATACAACAGCCCGATCAACATCCAGGTGGATTAAAGGGCAGGGTGCTGGAGTCATGCCTAGGTTAGGTGTCTCGCCTCCCTCCTGGATGCCTTCACAAGGATGCCTGAACTACATGTGAAACAGCTCTTGAATTACTGTCACTTAATCATTGTAAAGTAAACTGTAACTGATTCTTTTCTTCATATTCTGTAAAATGTGGTCATTCATGTGTTGTTCCACGTGCGGTTCAGTTGTCCCACTTGCTGTTTGACATTTTCTTCTATTTATGAGTTAACACTTCTAGAGACATTTGAATTAAGCTCCAAAAGTAGGTAGATGTTATTGATCAGACTAAGTTTGTCCCAGTTTCTCAGGAACAGCCTGTAACAGGCTTGTATGAAAACAACAGTTTAGTCTTGTGTCTGTCAGATTGCTTGCTTTCCATCAGATTTCTGTGGGATTACTTGTGTCTCTTGTGTTTATATATCCTATTTCATGGACTAGAAAGTGTCTCAGCTTTTTCATGCAGTGAAGTAATATAGTCATGCATTAAGTTTGTTTTCCATCTATTCTTTTTTAAAGATTAGATGTGAAAGCAGGTGTTTTCTAACTGTTTTGAAGTAAGGTGGTGTGTGACTGAAATAAAGATATTGCAGAAGGTTATTAGAGATTCCTGGATATCTAAGAAATAAAGTTTCTGTTCTTCAGGGAGGAGGTTTTATGAAGGAACAGTGAAGAGAAATGAGGTGAGAAAACAAAGAAGGGCCAGAGAAAACTTAAAGGGCAGTTGTTTCAAATGTTGGCGTTTTTCTCATGGGATGGTGTGTTCAATCCTTTTCAGTATTTGGTCACTGACAAGTAAAACACCTGTTTAAATGTTTTCCGTAAAAATTTTCAAGGTCTGAAAATTAAATATTAAGACATTAATACTGAAGTTGGCTATCTGCAAAATCAGTGGGAAGAGCTGACAATCTAAGAAGTCCGCATGTTTAGCATGGAAAGCTGCCGTGCAGTAGAAATGCTGAGCAGAGGAGTGTCCAAATCTCTCCCTCCTTCTGACTTAACGTGCTTGCTTTTCTGTCTGCTTAATAGTCAGAGCACGAATTATTTGAAGGGCACTGATGCCCAAGTGAGCAGCACTTGCTGCTAAAATCAAGGCCTCTGTATAATTTTTTCCCTACACTGAAGAAAAACTAAATAATTAAATCAGCTGCTTAGTAAAGGGATTCTAGATCTTCCTCAGCCTGAAGGGATTGAAATGAGAATTTTTCCTTTCCCAGGAAAGGACAAATCTCATTCTGTCCTTCTCTGGCCCAGCAGTGTTTGACCATCCCCTCTATAAAGAAATGTTTCCTAATGTCCAGTCTAGACTTGGATTTTAGTTTCTTTTTCCATAGATGTTTCTGTTTGTATTTTTTTTTTGTGTGTTTGCTTTTTTAATAACTGTCCAGTAAAAAATGCTAAAGCAATTCTAGAAAAAAATCCCATATGCCCTACCTTTATGCAATTATTTGAGCTATATAGGCAATTTTTCAAATCTATGAGCTCCCATATATAGATACTGCTCTTCCAGATGTGTTTTTGAGTGGCTCTGATCCTGATGATTCTGAGATGTATCCCTCTCCCTGCAATTTCACATTGGGCTTAAATCCACTCATCATTTAGCCTGCTGTTGCAGAGCGGGAGAGACCCTGCCCTCCGTGCTGGCTGCTCATTCCTGCCCTCTCCAACATCTATGATTTCCTCTTTAATCCAACTTAAACTAATCTTTTATTTATTTAATTTTGAGGTCAGTTATACGAATGAACTGATCCAACATACTCTGTGGTCAAGCTACTGCTAGAGCTGATACAAAAGGACAGGGGTGGGTGTGTGGGGTTTTTTGACAGCAACAATCAATTTAAGTCTTAGGCATATTCATAAAGTGCCTAATTGATTGTATTCCTCTGGATAAAGCATAGATGTGTTGCCATCCTGTTTCTGGATCACAACAGAGCTTACGTTAACATCCTTTTTTCCCCAGATTGGGGTACTTTGAAGTGTGCACAGACGAGTAAGCTTAGGCTCTGTGGAAGCTGTAGGTGAAATGGGGAGTCACATGGTGAGTCTGAGGAATGTCCACGGCTTTCAGATGTGGGCTTGGTTTAGCATTGTGTTTGGAGTAAACTGTTTAAACATTGACTAAGCTGAGTGTAAATATGAGGTGTAATACTAAAATTTTGTAATTTGAGAAAGAGGAAACCTTATTCCCTCACAGGTCAGGAGATTCTCATGTTTCATATTTAAAGGATAAAAGCATTGATTGTTGTGGCATGTACAACTGCAAGGTAATAAAAGAACAGAGCAAATACACAGAATTTACTAATGCTGTTAATGAAACAGAGGCAACTGTATCCTTCAGTTGTATGTGACTAATTATTGAAATGAATGTGTTTTAAGTATATGAAATGCACTGAGTGCACATAATGTAAACAACTGCACTGCTCACATGTTAAGCATCATCCCTAAGCCTTCTTATCCAGTGTTTACATTTATACTAAAAAGTATTCTACAGCCATCAGGTAGCTTATATAATCCTCTTGGTTTCAAAGAAATAAAACCTGTTCAACCAATCTTCCCCCATCTGTCTCTTGTAGCACTCGTTTTCTTTATGGCAGGCTTATAGCTCCCTCCAGCGTTCTGTTCTGTGCTAAAATACAGAAAAAAATTTGAGATTTAATGTAAAAGAATTAGATTTTGTGCTCACAGTGTTATCTGTATGACTTGGTGTTTCACTAATAAACTGGGCTACACAATTCTTTTGAATTTGCCTGTTTTGCCTGGTAGTGTACTGATTTACTTGTAAAATTTGAAGACACTGGGGAATTGACTTAATAGGTTTCAACATTTTTCTATGCCTTTTTATATGCATTCACTCGTTTTCAGAAAGATGAAACAAAGGGTTATAAAACGAAAAAAAACCCACAATGCAGCCAAGAAAGTGTATTATAAAGAATAATGTAATGTTTTGAGTGAATATATATATGTGTATATACATATTTTTGTTTTTATTCACTGAACATTTACAGCAGGA